AAAAAAAAAAAAAAAAAAAAAAAAAATAGGATTGATTAAAAGGGCGGTATTCCTTATTTTAAAAACAAGGCCTTTTATACACTAACCAGGAAAAACTGTATCCCACCCTCCCCTTCTAAACGCTCTCTAATGCAGAGAATACAAGGCTGGCCCCTGAACGAGGGTCTCCTTCCCACAGCTAACAGACTGACTCGAGAAGCGACCCTGAAGAAAATCGATGAAATCTGAAGGAGGTCGAAAAGGCTCAGGAGGAAGGGGCAAAACCCCTCGCAGACGCGAAAGAGATCCTGTCAGAGACTAGTTCTTCCTCTGGGCCACACACACCCCTCCTCGAGCCCTACAATTCGAGCACTTCAACTGGAGCCCATGCCCACTCACCGTCCGGAGTCTTTTCCAAGCCTCATGTGGGACTCGCACCCACAATCCTCCGCATGACGCTCTGCCGTAATGGCAAGCGAACTAGGCCAAACTACTTAAACGTTTCCTCTGCGAAGATCTTTGTAGAAGCCGCCGAAGCCGCTCTGGCGCATGCGCAGGACAAAAAGTGCTAGTAATTGGTATCGCGCCTGGAGATGCTGCGGCCGGCGAGTCTCTGGCACTTTTGTCGGCGATCTAGGTCTGCGAGGGTCCCAGCGGAGAACCTGGGCCGTAGGGAAGTCACCTCTGGTGTCTCTCCCCGGGGCGGCACATCGTCCAGAGTCCTGAATATCTTCGATCGAGATTTGAAAAGGAAACAGAAGAACTGGGCGGCCCAGCAGCCCGAGCCGACGAAGTTTGACTACCTGAGGGAGGAGGTGAGCCCGCTGGGCGGCGGGGTTAGGGGGCGATCCCGATCCTCGTCTTCGTCTCCGCGAGCTCTGGCTGGGCCCCGACCTCACCGTCTGACCTTGACCAGCAGCCCTGCCTCTCGGCCTCTACTGTAATCACGCAAGACCTAGGCTCGGATATTTGTAACATGCTTTTCATGCATGCTTGCATTCATTTCAGCAACGTCCTTGAGGCCGAAAGGACCTTATAGAGGCCTCCAGAGAAGCTCCACAGAGGGAGAGGGTGGGAGAGGAGGTCAGGAGAGCCCAAATCATCAGGGCCTTGCAGGATAGGGACTTGGGGTTTTCTTCTGTGTCTGCGCTGTCCAGCCAGTATGGTAACTGCCGGCCACGCATGTGGCTGTTGAACACTTGAAAGGTGACTAGTCCGATTGAGATGTGTTGTAAGTGTAAAATACACACGAGTATAGTGACTTAGTATGAAAAAAAGGATGTAAAATAGCTCATTAAGAGCTTTTATACTGATTACATGTTGCAATGATATTTTTGATATATTGGGTTAAATATAAATTTAAAATTAAATTTCTCTCATTTTTACTCCTTTCCTTATGTGGCTACTAGAAAATTTGAAATTACATGTGTGGCTCTCATGATTTTTTGTTAGCACTGCTCTAGAGAAATGTGAAGCTCTTGTTTTAATCGGTGGAGTGATCTGATTTATGTTTTAGGAATATCAAATTAAGGTCTCTGATTGGTCTTTGCTTGTTTGAGAAACCTCTTTCTCCCTGCCCAGGTGGGCCCCGTACTGCGAGTTTCTACTTCCAGGACATACATTCCCAAGTTCAGGCCTCAGTAAATGTTTATTCAGAAGTAGAACAAAACTGGAGTCAAGTATAATGCAACAAACACTTAATGAACTCCTAGCTTGAGCAGAGCTCTCTGCAAGTACGGGTCTGATCAGATGATTGACAGTTTGTTCTCAGGAAGTCTTATAGAAAGAGAGACTGGTAATGTCTATTATAGGTATAGGAAGTTTACTACCAATAAATTTTTTGTATCCCATTTGGAAGGCATGGTACACTTACTACACTGCTGTTGTCATGTACTTAGAAGATGTATGCTCGTAGCCCTTTCTCCTACAAGAAAAGCACCTGGACTACAACTTAATTGAGGCCTAGCTAATTTGTGGGACTAGAACAAAAAAAGTATATGAGAGTTCAAAAAAAAAAATAAACATAGGGCATTCATATTAGGAATGATGTACAAAGTGGACTTCTGGGAAAAAAACATCTACTCTCCTTCCTCTCTTGCCCTTCTTCCAAAAAGCAAGTACACTTGTGTTTGAGAGTCCTAATAGCAACTCTGGGGGTGTTTATGAGGGAATGAGTGGAATGTGGAGAATACTAGACTCCCACATCTTTATTGCTGCCAGATGAAGCCAGCCCAGCAAAAGGTGGTGCTTATCTATGGCTCTTAAATTGGGATGGGAATGGGGCCGGGGTGGTGCCCGTACCTCAGATTTGGCTTTTCTAACTTGTGAATGTCACTCAGAAAACTTGTTCATTTAGGAGTTCCACAAAATTTGTTAGTCATCAAATAGCAGCGTTTTTCTTAAGTGACCACTTATGTATTGATCTGCAATAAACCCCAATAACTCATTTTTCACTTTATATACCTCATGCTAATATCTGTGGACAATAATCTGCCTTTTGTGTTCTTTGCTTTTCGTTTTTGTAATCTTATGTCACATGGAATGTAAAGGCCACATATATATGTGTATATAGGAATATTTTTAAGAATATTTACTCTTGATTTCATTAAATTGACTTCTGAAGTAATTTGCCTCAATTTTGTTTCCTGGTGATTTGAGAAGAAAGTTCCTGTGATGAAATTGAAAAGGGGATAAAGGGAAGTACTTATTTTAAAACATAAGTAACCTGTGGATTGTTGAATACTGGAAAAAGAGTATTACTTTCCTGTTAACCTATGCGTCTTGTAATCCTTCAGGTTGGAAGTCGAATTGCGGACCGTGTATATGACATACCCAGGTAAGTGGTGGTGATCATAATACCATACCATCAGCTTTTGAGTGGAAATTCAAGAGGTTAAATGCCGGGAACTTGATACCTGAAATGGCAGAATCTGGAAGAATTTACTGTGACTGGTGATTTAAATCACTCTGTAAGTCTCCTTTGTGTGTCTGGAGAGCAAATGTTTTCTTCATTGTTGCCTGAAAAAAGAAAAGAATGTATGGAAGCACAACTCGTATCTCTTTCCAAGCCTGAATCCACTTGATTTGGCCAAAAGCTAGTAATAGAAAGATTGCTCTAAAACTTGAGATACTTAACAATATGCGAATTTTTAATATTTACCTTCTAGTTCCAAAGCCTCTGTACCTAACTATGCCATATTGCCTGTGTTCATCATCAAGCATTAGGACATTAGGTAAATAAGGTTATCTACCACTAGGGATTCTCCAGCTATGTACTGGTGTTCTATAATTTTGACAAAGCTTTTTTAAAACAAATTGCAAAGGGGCTCTTTCTGTTCCAGTTTTTCAGGAAGAATATTATTAGTAGATAAAATTTTAAGTTTTCTTGTTATATGTTTTTTTGAACCTATGGCCTACAATTAGATGTCTGTACCAGTGTAGCAGAACGAAGTATATTTAGAGGAGACAGCATGGCATGGAGGATGGCAGTTCCAGTTCAGGATTCAAACTGACTGAATTCAAGTGTTGACTGCTCCTTATTAGTTGAGTTTGACTTACTTAGCTTCAGACACTTAGCACAGTACTTTGAACCTGGTACCTTTTCAATAAAAGTTTAACTATTATGTAAGTTCTTTTTTTAGTTTAACATTAATACCAAATGGTATTTCCCATGATGATTTCTAAGTGTTCCACTGCTTCAACAAGTCTGAGAAATAGTATCTGGTAAGAGACTTGTAAGGTGAGGCCAAAAAGGCAGATAATGTAACCTTCTGGAAGTTGTGTTTACTGAAATGATTTTACTGAAGAAAAAATAATTCTTAATTTATAGACTGTATTATGGACAGAGCATAACTTCTGTGTCTTTTTTTTTTTTTAAGAGATTTCCCCCTTGCCTTGGATCTTGGTTGTGGAAGAGGTTACATTGCACAATATTTGAATAAGGTATATTTATTCAATGACTTAATTTGCTTTGAAAAGTAAAATTGGTTAATTTTAAAGAAAGACTTTCCTAATTAGCTTGTAACATATTTAGATTTAATTATATCAGAATTGTTAATTTGTTTTTTATTAAGTGGTAAAACCAATGGTGGTTTTCTCTCGTCTTTAGAATTTTTTTCTTTTTTTTTTTCCCCATTTATTT